CACATTTCTTCAAAAATGTTTTGATAATATTATTATCATGTTTTTGGAACAAATTCCACATAATTAGTCCTTTTAAAAAGAACACTATGATTTAACAAGCATAAGAAAATTGGTATTTTCTTACCGTAAAAATGGAGATGTCACGGTGTAGAGAGATCACTGGTTCCAGACATCTATATAAAGAGACATAGTTTTAGTTAGTGATATAAATCCTTCATATTTTAACCCTAAATAAATATTCAAGGTGTAACATCCCATTTTCTCAACCAAAAATTTATATTTTATTAAAGTAAAACTTCCCAATTATAAATCTATTATCAAGAAAACCGAATATTCCATAGTACATTTATTGAAAATCAGAGTAATATAAGAAATGCGAAATCCTCAATATTGTTGATGAGTGTGTACAATCCCGCTTTTGCCTTCCCACGATTACCGATAAAACCTGAAAAACACAAACAAATGGTTAAGCACAAAGCTTAGTGAGTTTCCCCCAAAATACCCCATACGATAAACATACAATCATGCATAACGACCCATAATCATCAAAATGGAATGCCCATGTCCAATCAGTCCTCAGACTGGAATGCCAACATGCAACGGGTCCAATCAGCCATCACGTTGTAATACCCAGGGATTGTTGGCGTACCACCTCAACCCAACCGCTCTTCCCGAGCCTCTGTGGCTATGGCTTATAGCCGGACCGTACTAGGTATCTTTGCCTACATCACAAAGCAGGATCGCCTCAACCCACTACCACCATATGTCGACATAAACAATCAAGGATCAAGTAGGCATATTGTTGGGTTTTAGGTACTATAACACTCCTATGGTGCACATACAACCCTAATGCCTTGGATCTAAGTTTTGTCTAATTATACATGCAATGCTCTTTTCCAAAGCAAGAAGCCTAACTAGCATGCAACTTTGATATATGAATCATAAAAAAAAAAAAAAAACTAGTTAGATGATTACCTCTTGTAATAGCCTGTAGAACTTGGCCATATAAGAGCTTAGCACCTCAAGTGTGATGCCTCAAACAAGTCACAAACACCAATAACAATTAGAGGGATATGAGAGAGGTTTAGGAGACACCAAAATCGACTAGCCACTTCTAGGAATCCATGAGTGCCGATTTTGGAGCTAAGGGAACACATTATAGTGTAGAATTACAAGAGTTACGTCTTAATCCTAATTCATACACTTAGGCTTTTAATCCAACAACACTTCATGGACTCTAATATGAACTTAGTCCATTACTAGTTAATCATGGATCATTAGCCCAAGTCATATGTTTCACTAATTTACATAATCAGCCCCTATTAATTTAGTCAGTCTCTTTTGATCACTAAATTAATTCTAAACTAATTCTTGATCGATACCAATTAAATAATATTTTCTCAATTAATATATTATTCTTATAATATATTAATAAATCACAAATAACCTTTTTCTCAATATCCATCCTATCAAATTGATTTAATGAAGGCAACCCGAAATGGACCATGCTACTATCGGGTCAAGTACATACCAACTATAGTTATGGGCTTAGACACCTAATCCAACAGTCTCTCACTTGGATAAGTCTAATAACTATAATTGTAAGCATGACTTCAAGATCCGATTAGCAATTGTAGCTCTTAAAAGTCGTTGTCGAACTCTGACGCGTCCATCAGATAAGGGATCATATATTCCTCCATTATACAAGATATTGTATGAACTGAGACATGGATTATAGTCATTATCTCTGTTCATGTGTTGTTTCCCGATTTTCGATTTATGATGACTGACTAATTGAACAAATCAAATCAGTCCAGGCTTGGCCAAGCGCTTAGGGTTGTCATCACTAAATCACCGAGGGGCCTACATATATCGCTTTTATCCCTATTAGGGTAAAAGGAACGGATAAACTTCGAATCATATGCTTGCTCAATTTACTCATCAAATCACGCACAACAATATGTTTTATAACACCAAGTTACTGGTGCATTTACATATCATCAATATGCAACCGACTTGTAAACTATAACTCACATGTCTTGGTTTAAAGAATATAAGATATTATCGTCTCACAATCACTTGTGATAAAATCCATGAAGTGATTCACGTGAGCGTGGGTTTAATCAAATACTCAAATCTTATTACAGGAGTACTCATGAACACTACAGCAAACATGTGCCATGTCTAAACACTTTAGACAATCTACAGTCGGATTCATGACAGCCTTACGTCATTACTTACTTCCAAAGAATGATTTACTGTGGATGTTTGAATAACCTAGTTATTCGGGAAGTAAAACATGCACAGTGAAACACAAGAATAATCGAATCCAATATGGTCTCAAAAATTTTGAATATAAATAAAACACCTTTTATTTAATCACCATATTGATTACACATTATTCAATGTATAATGTTTCGACTAATCAACTTAATATTTGAATTAAAACAATAGTTATCCCATGCTCCAAGCATGCACACTATGTTTAACTATGGTCCTTTCTTTGTGAAACAGATCAATTGTAAACATTTCCAATGACACTCGTTTCATAATTCCAAATCCCTATTGTAAGTGTAAGAATACGAAATTCTTGCCGCTATTAGAATGTGTTAGATTCTAAACTATCATGCAATGATTCTTTTGTAATGACAATGCACAAAAGTCACAGAGATTTGGACAATGATACTACAAAGTACTCCATTGGAGATTGTTACAAGACAATTCCACAGATATGAAGTCTCACATTCAAAGTACATTCCTTTGAACATCCTTATTGCATAAAAGTTTCTAACCTATACAAAGATTCTTAATATCCAACTCCCATTATGGAACCATTTCCATATTAGTCATATGCCAATCAATTCTTAATAGAGTCCTATATATTCATAATCATGACAATATGGTCCATCCATTACTATACTTCCAATTGCCCACAAACGACCAATCTTTGGCGAACCTTAGATTGTTCTTAGCAATTGTTTAACAACTTTAGTCATATCTGGTTCTGTTCCCATTTCCATCTTAATGCCCTATGCATTTGGAAAATTTGGAACACATGAATATTACGTTTACATTAAAGTCCACGGGAAAACCATGACAATTGCAGGAGTGTTGCAAGACTACGAATTTTGCCTATAGCATTCACTTGGGATGAAATAGGCCCCTTGTCTAAAATAGGCCACTGTAGGAGTGATTGTAAGTTTATGATTTGGCCCATAACATTTCACTTTAGATGAAATAGGTCCAACAACTGAAACATGCCTTGTTGCATGTTTATGGTTATGTATGACATGTGATATTTTGGGGAACTCACTAACTTGTGTGCTTACGTTTTTGTGTTTAAATGTTTTAGGTACTTCTGGTCCAAAGGGAAGGGTCCGCCTTGATCGCACTGTATTTCTAAACATCCAACAAATAAAAAATCAAATCCTTTATGAGATCATAACGATATTATAAATATAGTATGTCCAGCATACAACTATTAAGAACATGTATCAACATTTCCAATAATAATTATTTCACACACGATATTGGCAATGCAAAATACATATATATTTACAGGATATTAATCAACCACATGGAAAATATACACCCATCCTAAAATGTCTTTTAATCATATAATCATAGTTTTGTAAATATCACTCATCATCGAGTAGAACATATACAAAAAAAGAACAATTCATTAAAGTTACGTAACCTGTATCAAGAAAGAACATGTAAAGAAGGATAAAACAAAAAATATAAACACATACGTTTTTATTTTGACAATTATAGCCAATTATTGAAAAATGTATATTAACACGAATGTATTTGATATCACTTCATAACTCATGATCGATATATTACATTCATCATAAACGTAATTATAACACAAATATCATCATATTATCAAAATGGCTAACAATTTATAAATTAAATTACACGATTATAAAAAAAAACAAGCAGTTCATTTAATTTTCCAATTATTTCAAGATAATATTGAAGATATTATATAAATAAACATTTCATATAGGTGAATGCAACAAAGTTAATTTACATTAAAGAGTTCTTCTAACTACATATTTTGGTAGATCCAATTTACATATTTTGATCTTGGATGTTTAATGTTATACCATAAAGTCATAAATATTAATTTTTACCATGCTAAAAAGGTAATTCTATTATTTGATTGTTAATATAGAATGCTTGTAACATTGAACTACATAAAACACTAGAAACAGTGTGGAAACAGTTCCGTGTAACTACTAACAACACCTTACATGAAAATCCAGATTTTAATAACCAACGTAAAAAAAGACTTATGCTACCGGATTTTTCATATTGTAACAACGTTAAATACACATATATAGAATTAAGTATACTCGGTACCGATACCATCAATAAAACAACAAATATCAATACAAATGACATTACTTAATCACAATCAACGAACTTGTTCATCTTATACAACATTTAATTGTATATTTCTACATCCAAATCTCATTCGATTTGGACAATACTTGATTCTATGGACTCCCCGGTATAGTTAGCATCCAACCTGATGTCAAACTCACAAATCAAACGAAAGCATTGACTTGAAAACACTTGAGAACATCAATACCTCCAAATAGATACCCTTTTTTACCATTGTACATATCTAATCGAATATCTCTCAAACCACTAAACTTCAGCATCCGTAAAAATATTTGACAAAAAGCTAACTTCTATATCTACAAACCTCAAAAAATTTCATCAAATTTCATCAAGTAAAATTACATTTATGCTCAAATTAATTGAGCATAGAAACACACCAAAATGAATAATACATCTCATCTAAACTTCATCTCTACCTTCACAAGAGTCATTCTAAGCCGTTGATGGTGAATAATCTAACAGCTCATGTTTAAATTCCAGTTAGGTGTCCGATCCGTGTGACCCCTATATGGACCAATCAAAACGCTGCTTTTAGATATGTCCCTCATGCTCCTTATTATTTAAATCCCCACAAACTCATCTTTGTCACTCAGACGCTACATTCCATCATCGCAATCAATCTCAGTTCGATTAGCATTTCCAGATCTAAATTCAATTTTCAGAGCTTGCTTTGAATTCCAAACCCAACGGCGATGGCGACTGAAGAACCAATTGTTGCGACGGAGCCCACTGCACCGGAAGTCGTTACCACTGACTCCGCCCCACAGGAGGAGAAACCCGAGGTCCCGGCAGCTGAAGAAAAACCAAAGAAAGCCAAGAAGCCATCTGCCAACCGAAAACCTAGAAGTCCTTCTCTTCATCCAACATACTTCGAGGTGTGAATTGTTTTCAATTTGTTGTCTTTTTAAATTGTTCTGTTATGATTTGATCTTTGTGACTAATGCTTTTTCGTGATTGGTTTTGTTTACAGATGATTAAGGATGCCATTGTTACGTTGAAAGAGAGGACTGGTTCCAGCCAGTATGCGATCACTAAGTTCATCGAGGGGAAACAAAAGAATCTTCCGGCGAATTTTAAGAAGCTTTTATACACCCAATTGAAGAAATTCGTTGCTGCTGGTAAACTAGTGAAGGTCAAGGCTTCATACAAGCTACCGGCAAAAGCTACGGCAACAGGTGCTCCGGCGAAGAAGAAACCTGCTGCAAAGCCAAAGACAGCTGCCAAAAAAGCGCCCGCTAAGAAGAAGGCTGCTGCCAAGCCCAAGGCAGCTCCAAAGGCAAAAACAGCAGCGAAACCGAAGAAAGCTGCTAAGGCTAAGCCCGCGGCGAAAGCCAAGCCTGCTGCTAAGCCCAAGGCAGCGGCTCCCAAAGCCGCAGCGAAGCCAGCAGCACCAAAAGCCGCCGCCAAGCCCGCTGCAAAACCAAAAGCCGTAGCTGCCAAGGCGAAACCGAAGCCCAAGACTGTTGCCAAACCGGCTAAAGTAGCAAAGACAGCAGCTAAATCGACTCCAGGGAAAAAAGCAGCCGCCGTTCCAAAGGCTGTGGCGAAGAAGGCATCTGCGAAGAGCTTGAAACCCAAACCAGCAATAGCGAAGAAAGTCACTGCAACTAGGAAGGCGAAGAAGTGAGGAAAGAGAGAGTGAGAGAGAGGCTGTAGTACATTGTTCTCTTTTTAGGGGTAATTTGTGTAAAATGTTATCCTTGGGTGCATCTTAGATTTCTGCATACCCAGTAATAGTTTATAGATTTCTTTAGCATGTCAATTAATCAATCCATGTTTGCTTTACAATCTCCCTTATACCCCTGATTCTGATACGAAGGTATTCATGTCTCGATCTTGATTTCTTTATTTTTATTCGCGATTGAGTGATTTCAGGCGAGCTAGTTGTCCTTTCGTTTCATGTGTGAATAATGTGTTCTGTTGCAAACTCAGTTTGGTGAAGATTGCTCCCGATTTGAACAGGAAATGGATATTCAAGGTTTTATTGTTTCTGTTTCTTCTTCTTTTTGGGTTTGAAGGTTAATCAGTAAAATATTTTTGCTGAATCTAACTTGTTCTTTGTTTGTGTTCAGGATGATTGATATATTGGGGGTGGACATCTTTTCTTTAGGCATCACCTGTGATCTGTATCATGAAGATGACTGGTAAGCGTGCCTCTGACATTGTTACTTTTATCACTACAATTCATGTGCAATGTTGGAATTTAACACTTGAGATATAATGTTTTAGGGGGTTTGGTGAAACTTTAGTGCATATTATTTATGTTTCTAAGGGTGAATAGTCTGGGTAAATCCTTTGCATAGGATATGATGATAATATAAAGCATCTGATTTACGGGTAATTAATTATCCTGTCAGATTGATGGTGGCAACTTTATTCTTTTAGTTAACCTGCCCAACCATTATGGTTGAATACTTAATTATCATATCCTTTAACTTCATATGAATCCAGCAAAACATTTAATACTAATTCAAGATCTTGTTTGGTTCATTTTGTACCTTAGTTGCTAGCATCATGTATTGTGGTCCTTTTGAGTTTTGTATTATGAACGTAGTAGAAAACAGTCTCTTGATGCTTTATTGCTTATAAGGAGATAGCGAAGTCAAAGGATTTAACTCAAAAGGATTTATACACTATGATATAAAACAGGGAGTACACCCAAACCCTAACACTCTAAAGACCCATATATACAATACAGATGACGACCCATACTAGTATGATATGGTCTCTCAAATGAAGGGAGTTTACCAACATGAAGCTTGACATGAAGGAAAGAAAATTAAGGGGAGGGTAGCGGTTTGGTGGCATCAACTGTATCAATATGGGGTATAGTTGTTCTTGTTAGTGGTTTAGCAGAGAGATTATTGACATCTATTTGTTTTGTATGTCATGAAACAACGTAATGGCTCCAACGTTATAGCACCATAGGTTTGGAGGAACACAAAGTTTTGAGAAAAAGATCGAAACCATGCAATGTTAGCAACAATATTGGCCAAAGCTGTGCACTCAAAATTTTGTAAAGGGGCGAGGAATCATCGTATGCTTTTGGAAGACCATGAGATCAAATTTGCACTTATGAAAATTGCAAAATTGCATGTGAGTTGTCTGTCATTCGGATTGAATTGGTGACGTCCTAGAGTCGAGACGAAGAGTTTGGGCCAGGAGGAGGCTAGGTTGAGGATTAGGAATGACAATGAGGTGGGTTCGGAGACGGGGCAGAGTATCCCATCCTCGAACCCGATATGAAAATTTGTTGTCATCCCGACGGGTTTCTTATCGGGACGCCCTATCGGGGTTGAAAATTCTCTCGAACCGACCCTAAACCTGAAACCTGATATAGACCCGAAAACCCGATATCTACACCAAAAAAAAATGTTTGGAAAAAACTACGATGGAATAATGACAAATTAAAACCTTACATAGGCTACACAACAAATTAAGTTTATAACATAATTTAAGCAAATAGAAATTAGGAGTAGTTTTATCCTTTCCGTAATCATAAATACTTTTTATGTCGTTCTTGATGGTGTCTCAATAAAGAACTTTAAACAAAGGTTGAAGACTTCCCATAAACTTTCTAAATCCATGATGTTCTACATTTGAAAGTGGATATCCGTGTACGATAATCATTTCAGCCAAATATTTCCTTGATGTATCGACATTAGATAGATCCACGAATATCTAAAGATGGTTTTTTGTAAATAACGTTTAGAATGGGCAAGTAAATATTTTGTACTATTCTTGCTATGTGCACCCAATATAGCAACCCAATACTTTAGAGTAATGCTTGCATTTTGTTTCTTCACCATTCATATTAAATATTTTAAAATGGGCCCATGCTGGTGAACGTGTTGTTTTTTTTTTGAATGTATCATCAATATGCGTCTCATCTTGTCCGAGTAACGGAGTATATATTTACTTGATTAGAACACGAACCTCCTACACCTTTATTGCTTGTAATTTGAGCAGGATTTGGACTGTTTGCATTCATATCCACCGAAAATAAACAAACAATAAAATTAACCATTAAAACAAAATGCGAAATCAATTTAAGTTAATAGCTAACCTATGATTAGTTTTTACATAGACAAAAAACTAATAAGTGCTAACTAAAATTTAAGGCTCAAATAAACAACCCATAAAATCATATAATTAACGGAACAATGTTAAGATATAACGATCCTACAATGTTATCCGATTACATGAAATCATATAAACAAATTCACATATATTTATACTGTTATCAATTAACAAAACCATGTTAACATATAAACAACTACATATTTATACTGTTATCACATTCAACAATCAACACTCAACAAAATATGATAGAATGAACATATTCACATACATTCATACTGTTATAACATCCTACAATGTTATCAAATCACATTAAATCGGTTAAACATGAAATTAGCTAAGAAATCGACATTGTAACTTTGTAAAAGAGTAAAACGAATTGATCTTGCAAAGAAAAAAAGATGAAATCCGTAGAGGACATAGATTTCAAACTGATATTGTAAGAAAAAATGTTAAAAGTTACCACTTACCTAATGTGTTTATCTAACCTTGTCGGGCTGAGGGAAATTTTATGTGTCATCACTGCCTTGATGCGCCAAACTTGAGGTTGGTGATCTGTGCTAGTTAGTGGAGTGGAGGCGAGGCTAAACCAACGAACAAGATAACAAATTGAAAGAAACGTGAATGTCGGCTGCAAGGTGAACCAAAAAAATGGAAGTTGGGAATGAGAATTGGTATACGCTCATTAGGGTTAGAACGTATACCCAATTCCCACTCTTAACTTCCATTTTTCCAGTTCACCTTGCAATTGACATCCATGTTTCTTTTAATTGATTCCATTGTTCGTCAGCTTAGCTTGGCCTCTACTCCAATCATCGACGCAGATCCCCGACCTCCTGTACCACACATCAAGGCAACGACGACACATAAAGTTTTCCTCAACCCGACACAGTTACATAAACGCATAACGTAAGTGGTAACTTTTAACCTTTTTTCTTGCAAACTCGGTTCGAAATCCATGTCTTCTGCTGATTTCATTTTTTTTTCTTCCTGCAAGCTCAATTTGTTTACTCGTTTAAACATATACAATGTCGATTTCTTTGCTAATTTCATGTAATTTGATAACATTGTAGGAAGTTATAACAATATGAATGTATGTGAATCTGTTCATTTTGCTAATTTTGTTGAGTCTTGACTATTGAATGTGATAACAATATCAATGTATACTTGTTTATTTTTTAGCATGGTTTTGTTAATTGATAAAAATATAAACGTATATGAATATGTTTATCTAATTTTATGTAAACTGATAACATTGTTGGATAGTTTATTTTGTTAACATGGTTTTGGTAATTGTATAAATTGTATGATTTAATGGGTTGTTTATTTGAGCATTGTAGGATAGTTTATTTGTTAACATGGTTTTGTTAATTGTATGAATTGTATGATTTAATGGGTTGTTTATTTGAGCCTCGAATTTTAGTTAGCACCCCTTAGGTTTTTGGTCCATGTAATCACTAATCACAGGATAGCTGTTAATTTAAATTGATTTTGCATTATGTTGTAATAGTTAATTTTAGGGAAAATGACACATTAGCCTAACAATGTATTTCGAATTTGCCGAATCAGTCCCTTAACTTATTTGCGTGCTTTATGGGGACATAAAGTGGATGTCGACCTGATTATTTTGCCCCTCTAACCTACAATAGTGAGAGAACCCCTCTCTAAAATTACATCATATTACTCCAAAACATGCTACATGCATATTCATAAACAATATTTTACATTGATAGTTTAATTACAAAAGACTGTATACAAACCGACTAAGTTTTAGTATATTACATAACTACCCAGGAAATTATAATTTTATACATACACGATCACTAAAAACAAAAGTAATATTATTAACTATTCTAAATCTTCCAACAGTATGTGTCTATACTGAATCCTTATTACCTGCAATAATTTAACACTGAGAGGGATAAGCGGTGACGCTTAGTGAGTTCAAAAATAGATACAATATAACGTTATGCCATATATATACCAATATGACATAAGCAAAGAAGAACAAAGAACAACAAATGCATATGTGAATCATGTGACAAGCTTTCCATATCAACAAATGATCTGATTCAAAGATTTATAATCAATAAGATACAACAATTTCAACTTGATATATACATCAATAAGACTTTAGCCCAAATGGCACAGAAAATAAACGATTTTTGAATTAACATTTTGCTAGAATTTACAGGTTTCAGCCCTATCCAGCATTCTACCAGTGCCAAAGTGATGCTTCCTCATTCACTTCATGGTCAAAGGCTACATACCAATACCCAAGTGATGCTTAGTCATTCACTTCGTGGTCAAAGGTATAACTCATTTTCATAAAAACACGGGAAAACATATTGCACATATAACACATAACATACAATTGTTCCTATAATTTGAACTCACCGTGAAATAACCGGAGGTTAAAATAGTAATTTGGGCACCACTTCGTTCCTATAAATAACTTTCTTCGATGAAAACCGAGAGCTTTATTGAAAACCGGGCCTTGCGAGGGTTGAGCTTCAAAACCGAAAAGATAAATTTCTCGGGGTCTTCGGGCACTTCGGGACGTTTTTCGGGTGTTAGGTAGGTTCTCGAGGCTTCGGGGGGTTAAAAGGGGCTTAAAATAAAGTTTAGTGTGAAAAGTATAGAAAATACCAACCAAAACCGGGAGGGTTCGTACCTCCCTTATATAGGTGTGAGGCTCGAATCCGGGGGGAGGAGGAGAAGCCACGCGGCAGCTTCGCAGGCGAGGGGGAGGGACCGTGTCGGAGGCTCGCATGCGAGACGTGGCTCGCTTCAGACACGCCACAGATGCGACACGCGTCGGATTCTCGTTGGGCCGTGCTTCGGATGAGTCATCGGGTCGGATACGGGGCATGCTCGCGAGGAATGGGGCGACGTGGCCGAACCCGGGCCATGCACATTCGAGAATTCTCGGTTTTTTGTTTCCCGAACTTCAAAAATTCATAACTTTCGCATACGAGCTTCGTTTTTGACGTTCTT